CGCCTGCACACGCACTTATTATGAACATCTCGACATGCGAAAGTGATCCTGCGAAAGTTGTTCACAATATTGATCATCCACAGAGTTTGTAATTTAGTTTGTAATTTAGTCAAATGTTTACAAATACAAGCGCAGCCGTTTAAAGCTCATTTGTGGTGAATGATGTCAGAATTTACCGGTATTTTGGAATGGATGTGTGAATGCTTTTTTGAATATACCGGTAAAGTCGTTCCGGAAATTTTCCAGATATTTACCGGTATCACTGCCATGGATCATACAGGAGTTGATTCTCATTATGGAATCGATTCTGAATTTTGGAATCGATTCTTGATACTAAACTCAATGATTACATTTTTTTGGAATCAACTCCATGACATTCATCAAAAGCCACGGGGACTGGTTTGGACTGTGCTTATTTTGTAAATCTCAAAAGCGGGTGTCCAATTATACAAATCAATAAAGTTTCACAGGTTCAGCTAAAAATCTTCTTTAAGGGGCTCCAATTTTAACCAGATGTAAAATAAGTATGTGTCTGTGAATTTTCAGTTTAAAATACTTATCAGATCATCCAACCCAAGCTCATTCTGAAAAAGTAGCCCTGCGGACATTTCTGGAGACCGTGATTTATGTGGCCGGAAGTACGTATGGCTGCATTTCGTTTTTTTATGTGAACACTGCAGGGCGGTGTGACGCCGCTCCTCTTCGCACTCGCCGGCTGGTTTGTCCAGTTTGTCCGATTAGCTTGTCGTGTTACGCCAGCGGAGCAGAGGCCCGAAGGAGGAGGAGCTGGCCGCGTTCGACGACCAGGTTCGAGTCCGGGGAGGAGCAATTCCAGAAATCAGGTAAAACAAAAAACAGAATCCAAAAAATAAAGCGAACGAGTTCGTAACGGGGCGAGAATGTGGTGAAATGCAGTGAAAAAGAAAGTTTCTTTTTCTGTACGGCTTTTGTAAATCGTCGCTTGGGTTTAGGGATGAAGGAGGAGGAGGGTGGCCGGGTAGGCCGATTCAATCGTTCAGTTGGACAGACGATCGCTCAACAGTGGCCTCCGGCGGCTTTTTACGCGAGGCGTTCGAGACGCGAAAAAGCGCGCACAGCGGCCTCTCGCGGATTCGCAAAAACAAAAACTGCACAAATACGTACCTCCCGGCACGTATTTCGTGGTCTCCAGAAACATTCGCAGGGCTACGTTTCCAGAATGAGCCTGGGTTGAGATCATCAGATCATTTATTGCTCTCTGATGAAAATGTCAAGGTCCGACTCTTCCTATCTGAACATGCAGCTCAACTCCTTGTTCAAGCTCTTGTTCTCTCCAGACTGGATTTCAGCAACTCTCTACTAGCGGGGCTTCCAGCTAACTCCATCAAGCCTCTTCAGCTGCTCCAGAGCGCAGCAGCACGAGTGGTCTTTAATGAACCTAAAAGAGCACACGTCACTCCGCTGCTCATTCGTTTGCACTGGCTGCCAGTTGCTGCTTGCATCAAATTCAAAGCTGTGATGTTTGCCTACAAAGCGACTTCTGGCTTTGCTCCTTCTTATCTGCTCTCGCTTCTGCAGATCTATGTGCCGTTCAGAAACTTGCTTTCCTTCTTAGACTGTACAGACCTGAAACTTGCCTATAGCACTTATTCATTGTTGCTCTTATAGTTGTGTAAATTTCTTCCTTGTCCTCATTTGTAAGTCGCTTTGGATAAAAGCGTCTGCTAAATGACTAAATGTAATATGTAAATTTATTACTCTCTGATGAAAATGTCAATATTTGTGGTCAGAGAGAATTTTGGTTTTTTTTGGGTCTGTGCTAGATGTCTGCATTTCTGCAGTACAAGAAATATGGTCAGGTCCTGTGAATAAATTCCGAATAAAATGCGGTAGTGGTCGGAATGGGAGCGGGTGGTCTAACTATGTAATGTTCCTGAGTCCCGATGATATTTCGGAACAGCTTATCTTTGATTTCCCTCATTTTTTTCGAGCACCAGTACAGCCAGTGCTCATAACTGTTACACATGCTGAAGGTATGACCAGTGCTTTCTGCACATGCATTTTACTCACACAGTCTGTGTGTGCATGATCTGCATAACGGTCCTCAGAGCGGGCTTTACCTTGGCAGAGCAAAGTGAAGATGCGCTGTCCTTAATAGATGTTCAGCTTGCATTAGAAAACAGTTCACTAATTGAAAAACCACATCAGGCAAGTCTGACATATGGGAGTCTTTTTTATGTGTCATAGACGCAAATGGAAAAAATGACCCTTTGCACGCTGTGATAAATGCCTCAAAGTTTCACCCTTTAGCAGTCACAAGACTGGATAGTCAGGTTTAAAGGTTCAAAAAACCCTCAAAAATTGGAGAATGGCGGACTTTGTCTTTTATCAGTTGAGTTCATTACCATTCAGACACATCACCTACTGTATATCTGTGCTGCTGTGTTCAACTGTGTTTAAAACCCTCCAGATTACCGGCAGGGCTAATGGTTGGAATTGACAGGGCAAAAGACCTGCTGCACTGCTCCACTGTGTCTGCATACAGTCCCGGGGATTCAGGAGGAGAGAAGTCCTCCACATTTATAGTGGTTATAGAACATGACTATCATTATAATGATTAATAAATAGTGGTTATATATTATATGACAGGGCTCGAAATTAACCTTTTTGCTAGGTAGCACCGTTGCTCCTAACTTAACAAATGTAGGCGTATCAGCCAAAATTTTGTCGCACCCACCAATTATAAGCACCATTACTACAAGTTTTATACAAACCTAGCCTATTTATTGCATTTGAAATCAACAGTAATCAAACTAACAAGCAAAAAATATATATATATATATATGCATGCGAAAGGAAAATATGTCTCAGCGAAATCCCGTTATCACAAGACAATAGATATTTATAACAGAACTGAGTGACCAAAGCATACTTGGAGCACTCACCGGCCCTGCACGCACTGCTGGACATGAATGAATCTGTTAACGATATAACTCTGCTGTTCTCACGGGTGCTGTCTAATATTGCGCTGATGCTTTTGACATATACTGTGCCTTATTATATGCATACGTCATGTTAATAACAATACCGGTCTTTTCATGAGTAGCGATATTAGTTTCCTCAGTGCAAGCCTGTTTGCGATGGTGTACGTGGAGTTAAATTTGACATATAGCTGCCACTTAAACGGCGGACAGCATCTGGCGATTATATGAAGGATTAAACAGAAGCTCTCGTGCTAGATGTGGCAAACAGTTACCTGAAAACTCCATCCCACAGACTTTTCATAGCGGACTTGAAGCCACTGGAAGTCTTTTATCCACTCTTCAAAAAGTGTAGATGGTGGATTAACATTCAGCACATGATCACTAGTAAGATGTGTCATTATTTGTAACTTTAGATGTCATGGTTTCTAAAACAAAATCTGTCAGTGTTATCTTCATTCTCATCTTCAGCGCTTTACAATTTTTCGCAGGAGTAGCTCTCTCTGTCATCCCAAGCCAGAGGCATTGACTGAGTGATTGACACCTGATACTTCAGTGCTAGAGCAGTGGTGGGCAGTGGTGGGCCAATAAGTGCGTTAATGGTCGAACCAAAATGGTTGCAATTTCAAGCCCTGTATGAAATTATGAATAACTTGTCGATGTCACAGCATTAAATTACTGTTTATTTCTTTGCATTTTATCTTTGTAAACTATAAAATCATGCATCTTACGTTTTGTATCATATTTTTTTTTATTTTGAGCAGGTGAGCCAACTGACAAAAGCCCTTCTTTTTCTATCTGTTCTGCCGGCCACGCCCACCTCGGATCACTTTTGGAAAAAAATCTGAGGTAGATTTGAACTGAAAGAGGGGGTTTTATGACGCTTTAAGGCGGCACTCAGATCTCATCGCAAAGAGGCAAACAAAACTGACATTTATCCTACAATCCTTGCACAATCTACAGTTTAATCTGTTATCCCTCTATTTTGGTTGTGCTCAAATTAAACACGAAATTTTGGAAACCAGACGGTTGGGTTGGCTAAAAAATTATTCTAAGCAGGCAGCAGTTGAATATACAACAAGAGTGGTCATGTGCGAAATAAAACCTTGCGGGAGTGGGCGGGAGCACGAGTAAAAAAAATCAGTCCTGTGCAGACCTCTAGCCTGTGCTTTTAAATGCAAATGAGATGATTCTCCCCACCCACTCAAAGTAGTTTCTCCCTGCCCACTGGGAGGAGGACAATCAGGGTCAGGATGAAGAAAACAAAAAGACAGACAGCGCATCAGACACACTGAAACAGAGTCACACAGACATAAATGAGCTGCACACAAATGTCGTTACAAAGTTAGCACACTGTGCTGTTTTTGTTAACCTCTTCAAGAAAAATATGACACCAAACATGTAAATATACTACTATATAGAGATCATACATACTTTATAAATAAACTGATTTTACGTCCACAAAGCGGCACTCCTGTTGTGTGATTGAAACGTCCTGTAACTGCTTTAAAAGTCGAGTTCAAACTGCATTAAAAACACAAAGTGTAGCACTTACTGCTTCTTGAAAAGCAGTTTGATCACAGAAAGTTGAACAGATCTTTTAATCTCAGTTCTCTTTGACAATCCTGTCTTGTGGACTTGATTATGTGCGTTAATACTGAGACATGTTAATACGCACCTGTTAATTAATACCAGTGAGTAGAGAAATCTGCACTGCTACGTCTCACCAAATCACTGGGATCTGGATCCTATTTTAATGTCAGGAAATTTAAAAAAGAGACTTACTGTGCTTATATTACTCCAATATGACTGTGGACACACTATTCCTGCACACAGTTCTGTGCAAAAAGAACTTTTAAAAAGTCGATTTTGCATGATTGGTGCCCTTTCACGATCTACTAACGAAAAAAATGTAACATCTTTGATAGACTGAGTAAACTACCAGTCATTTTTAATTCTCAGGTGAACTTCCCCTTTAATTCACAAACACAGAAATAATATGAATATTGTTGTAATGAGCTAATCATGATCAATTCTCACCGTGGGAAATCATCGTCCTGCCACTCGTCTTTGACCTCCATGTTCTCCATGCGTAAAGTGGCTTCAGTGGTTCCCATCCTTTGGTTTGGATCACACTGTAAACAGCAAAAGATCAACACATTTACATACACTTACCAGCCACTTTATTAGGCACACCTTACTTGTACCAGGTTGGACCCCTTTTGCCTTCAGAACTGCCTTAATCCTTCGTGACAGAGATTCAACAAGCTACTGCAAATATTCCTCAGAGATTTTGCTCCATATTGACTTGATAGCATCACGCAGTTGCTGCAGATTTGTCGGCTGCACATCCATGATGTGAATCTCCCGTTCCACCACATCCCAAAGGTGCTCTATTGGATTGAGATCTGGTGACTGTGGAGGCCATTTGAGTACAGCGAACTCGTTGTCATGTTCAGAAAACCAATCTGAGATGATTCACGCTTTATGACATGGTACATTATCCTTCTGGAAGTAGCGATCAGAAGATGAGCACACTGTGGTCATAAAGGGATGGACATAGTCAGCAGCAATACTCAGGTAGGCTGTGGCGTTGACACCATGCTCACTTGGTACTAATGGACCAAGAAAATATCCCCCACACTATTACACCACCACTATCAGCCTGAACCGTTGATACAAGGCAGGATGGATCCATGCTCTTATGTTGTTGATGTCAAATTCTGACCCGACCAGCTGAATGTGGCAGCAGAAATGGAGACTCATCAGAGCAGGCAACGTTTCTCCAATCTGCTATTGTCCAGTTTTGGTGAGCCTGTGTGAATTGTAGCCTCAGTTTCCTGTTCTTAACTGACAGGAGTGGCACCCGGTGTGGTCTTCTGCTGCTCATCTGCCTCAAGGTTGGATGTGTTGTGTGTTCAGAGATGCTCTTCTGCAGACCTTACTTGTACTGAGTGCTTATTTGAGTTTCTGTTGCCTTTCTATCCGCTGGAACTAGTCTGGCCATTCTCCTCTGGCATCAACAAGGCATTTGCGCCCACAGAACTGCCGCTCACTGGACATTTTCTCTTGTTCAGACCATTCTCTGTAAACCCTAGAGATGGTTGTGCGTGAAAGTCCCAGTAGATCAGCAGTTTCTGAAATACTCAGACCTGCCCGTCTGGCACCAACAAGCATGCCACCTTCAAAGTCACTTAAATCCCCTTTCTTCCCCATTCTGATACTCGCTTTGAATAGCAGCAGATCATCTTGAACATGTTTGGATGATTAGAAATTTGCATTAAAGATCAATTGGAAATAAAGATAATTGACCAATAAAAAATAAATATACTGTATAAAAATCTAAATATTCAAAATATTTAATGTAAAAATCTTTTTTTAACTAACATATTTCATCTGTGGACACACCCACTCAACTGCTTATCTTTTATCAAAGTGTAATAATGAACGCCAATCTGAAATAACTGTCTGACATCACCTGTTTAACCTTCCACTTTAACCAGCTGTGTGTCACCTGTCAACATCCAGTCATCTTCACGTCACAAGATCAACATTTCTCCCGCTTAAGGTCCTGATTACTGCAAAATAAATGCATTTATGACTTGGAGCTTTTGTTAAAAATGAAATCATGCCTTGTTTTCAAAGAGATAATTAATAACCCACTTAATGTAAACTTATTATTCTAGAAACTGCTTCTTTATTTAAGAATCTTTCAATATTTAGACTAGAAACAAGACAAAACTACAATAATAACCTAAGTAATAAATGCATTATTGCAGTGTTTTCTCTGAAATACGTCACATTGCAACTGAACACAATCATCATAATAAATCATCTGCTTATAAAATACTTACAACACAAGTGAGTTTCTCTCCAGCGGTGCTGATTCCTCAATGTCTTCACCTTCAGGCCTGTGAATTTATTTCCCAGCTCCTGATTAAATCCATAGTGTTCATATGAGATGCTCAGGTTAGACCGTCAGTTCATCTGCGTGTGTGTTTCTCCTCAAACACAGGCCGGGTGGATGTTTTCAGGACGCTCCCAAAAAGCTCCTCAGCATCTGTGCATTGCCCTTCTCATCCGCAAATACAGGCTGATCTGTGATGTGTGATTATTCATGGCTGACTCCGCGTGCAGCATATAATCCCGCTCTGGATGACGTGATGTCACCTGCAGCCTCCTCCCCGGTGGTCTCTTTCTGTGTTTTTCTCTGGACGAGCGTTTATTTCCCTCCGCTATAAAAGGCGGTCTTGTGCTTCTGCTCTGGATCTGGAACAAGCTGCAAAAGATGGACGTCTCTCGCTGTTCCCTAGCAACCGCATCCCAGTCTCTGTATCCCTGACGGGCTTAGAGTCTCCTCTGTGAGCCGCTTTATCGCTCTCTCTCTCTCTCTCTCTCTCTCTCTCTCTCACACACACACACTCTCTCTCTTTCTCTACACACACATATATATATATATATATATATATATATATATATATATATATATATACATAGTAAACAGCTTTAAAAATAATAAAAATGTAATTAAATATAAACATAAACATGCAAATGATAATAATAAATCTGAATGAAGTGTACTTTAAAAAAATCAACATTTTGGGATAAATTGAATTCTCTCAATTCGATTTATTGGCATGAAATTGGTATATTTATATTTTATATTTGCAGTGATGACAGTAAATAATATTTGACTAGATATTTTTCAAGACACTTCTATACAGCTTAAAGTGAGATTTAAAGGCTTAACTAGGTTAATTAAGTTAACTAGGCAGGTTAGGGTAATTAGGCAAGTTATTGTATAATGATGGTTTGTTCTGTAGACTTATCGAAAAAAAAATTGCTTAAAGGGGCTAATAATTTTAACCTTAAATTTTATTTTGGTTATATTAATATTAATTATTTATATTATCACACATACTGTGAAAATTTCCTTGCCCTGTTAAACATCTTTTGGCAAATATTTATAAAAGACAAAAAAAAAATCAAAGGGGGGCTAATAATTCTGACTTCAACTGTATGTTTTATATATATATATATATATATATATATATATATATATATATATATATATATATATATATATATATATATATATATATATATATAGATAGATAGATAGATAGATAGATAGATATACACACACACACACACACATTTATATATATATATATAAATTATAAATAAATAAATAATAGTAAAAACAATAATAATAACATTATATAAAAATGAAGAAAATTATACATTATATTTATATACTTTAAAATAATAAAATGTATAAATACACAAAAGCAAAAAATATAAATTATACATACTATAAAAACTATAACATGTAAGTGTTGAACAAATACTTGTTGTGTATTTGAACATCTATGAATTTGTTTTCAACTGAAATAAAACTTTAAGTCCTCTTCACATTGAATAGTTACCCAAGGTTTCATCATGTTTCTTAATTAAATACAAAGTTGTGGTATTCTTTTAGAATCACCCTAAAATAATAAATAAATAAATAAATAAATAAATAAATAAATAAATAAATAAATAAATAAAAATAATTATATATATATATATATATATATATATATATATATATATATATATATATATATATAGCAATATTGAACTAGTGAAGATGTGTAAACTTGCTTTATTGCCATGAAAAATGTTAAGCCAAAAATGAATGCAAAAACATTTGTACAGTTTACAATTAACATAACAGATAAAAAAAACTTAGTAGTAGTGAAAATAGCACAAAAGTTAACAGTATATTTAACACTTTAGAATATAATACAATACAATACAATATAATATAATGTAATATAATACAATACAATATAATATACTACAATATAATACAATATAATATAATATTAGTATAATACAATATAATAAATATAGTATAACATAATACAATACAATATAACATAAGAATTAAATATAATATAATACAATACCATATAATTAATTTAATATAATATAATATAATATAATATAATATAATATAATATAATATAATATAATATAATACAAAACAATATAATAAGTATAATAATATAATATAATATAATATAATATAATATAATATAATATAATACAAAACAATATAATAAGTATAATATAATATAATATAATATAATATAATATAATATAATATAATATAATATAATACAAAACAATATAATAAGTATAATAATATAATATAATATAATATAATATAAAATAATATAATATAATATAATACAATATAATAAGTATAATAATATAATATAATATAATACAATATAATAAGTATAATAATATAATATAATATAATATAATATAATATAATATAATATAATATAATATTCTCTCTGGCAGCTGCTTGTCACTCTGCTCTACATCTGCAAGCACAAGCTCCTTCCACTCCTATTAGAGCTCTGTGATTGGATGATGCTCGTTTCCTGCCATGCTCAGTGATTGGCTGGGCTGGGGTGTGATGATGTCATCTGTTTAGTGCTCTGGAGGCTCACAGGCTTTGTGCATTTTAATACATGAAATATGACATTTGCAGTTTATAGGGCAGGACATTAGTCATCTCATGCTGCTTTACATACATTTCAGGTAGACGCTAAAATAATAAGAAAGTAAATGCAATGGATTTTAAAACACCGAATGTGTTATTTGTATTGTACTGTTACATTTATTTCATCTATTAAATGTATAGTTATGCATACATATAAATTAAGAAGGCAGAGTCTGATAAATCAGCCTGTTTGGTTTGAGGACTGACTTTAATGCAAATTTATTCCCACAATAATGGAATAGTAAGGTAAATATTGGTACCTAAACTATACATACTGTATTAGCATTGAAAACGTGCATATTAATACCTAAAATACACACATGTGAATGCCTTTTAAAAGGTACCAATCCAGTGACTGGAAATCGTTACACAAACCTTTTGAATAAAACATTAATAATAATAAACAAATAAATAAACAAAATGGCCGACTCACAGCAAGATGGTCACTGGTTCAAATCTCAACTAGGTCAGTTGGCATTTCTGTGTGGAGTTTGCATGTTCTCCCTGTGTTGGCGTGGGTTTCCTCTGGGTGCTCCAGTTTCCCCCGCAGTCCAAACACATGCGCTATAGTGGAATTGGATGAACTAAATTGGCCGTAGTGTATGGGTGTGTGTGTGTGTCTGTGTGTTAATGTGTGTATGGGTGTTTACCAGTGATGAGTTGCAGCTGGAAGGGCATCCGCAAGCGATTACAGCCTCAAGTCTTTTTGAATATGATGCCACAAGCTTGGCACACCTGTCTTTGGGAATTTTTGCCCATTCCTCTTTGCAGTACCTCTCAAGCTCTATCAGGTTGGATGGATTCAATAGGGTTTAGGTCTGGGCTCTGGCTGGGCCACTCAAGAACATTCACCAAGTCGATGTGAAGCCGCTCCATTGATATTTTGGCGGTGTGCTTTGGGTCATTGTCCTGCTGGAAGATGAATCGTCACCGCAGTCTGAGGTTAAGAGCACTCTGCAGCAGGTCTTCATTCAGGATGTCTCTGTACATTGCTGCATTCATCTTTCCCTCTATCCTGACTAGTCTTCCAGTTCCTGCTGCTGAAAAACATCCCCACAGCATGATGCTGCCTCCACCATGCTTCACTGTAGGGATGGTATTAGCCTGGTGATGAGCGCTGCCTGCTTTTCTCCAAACGTAACGCCTGGCATTCACGCCAAAGAGTTCAATTTGAGTCTTATCAGAGCAGAGGATTTAGTTTCTAGTGGTCTGAGAGTCCTTCAGATGCCTTTTGGCAAATTCCAGGCGGGGAGTGTTTTCAGTCTGGCCACTCTACCATACAGGTCTGGTTGGTGGATTGCTGCACAGATGGTTGTCCTAAAATGTGTCCTAAAGTGACCACATTATTGATGACCTCCCTGACTAAGGCTCTTCTCTCCCGATCACAAGCTTAGATGGCCGGGCAGCTCTAGGAAGAGTCCTGATGGTTAAAACATCTTCAACTTACAGATAATGGAGGGCACTGTGCTCAGTGGAAATTTCAGAGCAGCAGAAATGTTTCTGTAACCTTCCCCAGCCTTGTGCAATTCCTTTGTCTTCACGCTTGGTTTGTGCTTTGACATGCACTGTAATCCCTGGGACCTTATATAGACTGGTGTAGCCTTTTCAGATCATGTCCAATCAACTGAATTGAGCACAGGGGAACTCCAATGAAGCTGCTGAAACATCTCAAGAATGATCAGAGGAAACAGAATGGACCTGAGCTCAGTTTAGAGCTTCACGCCAAAGGCTGTGAACACTGATGTACATGTTTTTACAGCTTTTTTATTTTTAATAAATTTGCAACTATTATGTGTAGAATGTTGAGGAAATAAATAAATTTAATTAGTGGTGAGCCGTTATCGGCATTTACGTGCTGCGCGAATGCGTGAATCTGTATCGCGCAATAATAAAATATCACCATTGATCTATTCTCAAAGTTGGGTTGGGAGCTGGGTCTGTTCTACGCAAGCTATGATGACTTTCACCTTGATATATTAGCGCGGATGTATACCTGACCGGTGAGCCGTCAGAGAAAAAAAATGCCCTTCTGAATCAAATCAGCAGGATGCCGGATTTTAACTGCAGTTTAACACTTTCACATTAACACACGAACATTTCATTCATGCCCCCATGACACACTGTGGTATTAGACCAAATAAGGAGTAAGGACTGGTGAGAGTGTTATGGAATTTACTAACGTACACCAAATGAAAAGAAAAAAACGTCCGCATTTTGCGATGTGTTTGTGTTTGTGTGTGTGTGTGTGTGTGTAAGTGTGCGGTCCTTTACTGTCAGCTGTGTGTGTGGATCTTGTTGGAAAATATGTTGAAAAGTCCTACATGACGGTAATAGTTTGATTGTGGTGTTTACTTCAATAATGCCAATAATATCTGCATACTCCGCCTGTCTTAATTCCATTTCTGTTTAGTTCAGTTATGACTTTAGTTGGATTAAGGTGATCAAAAATCGCTGTTTGGCACTTATGTAAGCCTACAGTTCAACACTGATGTTTAATTGAATAAACAGTAAACACAAGTACATCTTCATTCATTCATTTTCTTGTCGGCTTAGTCCCTTTATTAATCTGGGGTCACCACAGTGGAATGAACCGCCAACTTATCCAGCAAGTTTTTTTACGCAGCGGATGCCCTTCCAGCCGCAACCCATCTCTGGGAAACATCCACACACACACACTATGGACAATTTAGCCTACCCAATTCACCTGTACCGCATGTCTTTGGACTGTGGGGGAAACCGGAGCACCCAGAGGAAACCAACGCGAAGGCAGGGAGAACATGCAAACTCCACACAGAAACGCCAACTGAGCCGAGGTTCGAACCAGCGACCTTCTTGCTGTGAGGCGACAGCACTACCTACTGCGCCACTGCCTCGCCTGCATTTTGGAGATGAACCCCCGGTCTAATGCGCCACCTGGCTTGAGAAACCCGTTCACAAAGACTTACTATTTGGGTAGCACACATATTCTGAATGCCTTCGGCAGAATTCAAATGAACCATTTGAATGTAGATTAATCTAGATTAAAAAAAAATCTATGCCCACCAAGAAATTAATTTAATCCATTTTGGAATAAGGCTGTTACGTGGAAAATGTGAAGCGCTATCAATACTTTCCGGATGCACCGTACACTACACCCAATTTAGCTTACCCAATTCACTTATGTGAATCCCATAAGTTTGGACTGTGGGGGGAAACCGGAGCACACGGAAGAAACCCACGCCAACACAGGGAGAACATGCTCCACACAGAACTGCCAAGTGACCCAGCTGGGGCTCAAACCAGCAATGTTCTTACTCTGAGGTGATTGTGCTACCCACTGCGCCACCGTGACACCCTTTATTATTAGTGTTGTGGCTAAAATAGTGGTTTGAGCTGAATTGAATAGTCTGTGCAAGTATATATAAAAAGTAGGCCCACAAGGAATCTGTGTGCGCAGATTTTTAGCCCATCATTAATTCTGTTTATTTACTTGAGTAAATGTGTGTAAATCTCTATTTATTCAGTTTTTAAATTAATTTCAGTAATATTATTGACTAATGTGAAAATGTTCATCTGATTTATGTACAATGCACTTTGTACAGTAATATTTTATTTCTTTTAGTATAGAGATATTATATGAGAGACTTGCTTTGTGTAACCAAATAAAGTGAATCTTGGATTTGCATTTTAAACATTAAAACAAATAAAAAGATATTATTATTATTATTTTACATATTAAGGTTTTAGTTATGATACTCTCAAAATAATTCAGCAGAAATCTGCAGATTTATACTAAAATTCTCTGCAGAAATAGCAAAAAACTTCCACAGATTCCGTCTGTCCCTAATAAAAAGCAACAAAAACAACACATTGACCTACAAAGTAAAAGTGCTGAGGGGTTTTGATGTGCTCTTGCTGAACACACACACACACACACACACACACACACACACACACACACACACACACACACACACACACAAACATCATAAACTCTAATAAACTGGTGCTCAGATGCTTCAGTCAGTCACTGAAGCTCTTCATAATGGACCAGAGCGACTGAGAAACATGAAGCCTGAGGTTTTTCTGTCTGGACGAACAAACACTGACCTGAAACATCCATTAAAACACACTCACTTCACCATCTGCTTTCTCTGTATGTATCTGCCTCTTGAACAACAGTTCACTACACACATACACACACACTCCAAAAAATGAGTTTGGCTGCTAATATAAAATACGCTGAAACAACACTATTCTTGTTGTTCATGTTTGGGGGAAGCAATTTCATTTTATTTTTGTTCAATCCACTTACATACAACATCTGAAGTGTGCTTTTAGTTGTGGGATTTATAGCAGAATATTTCACTGCGAGGCATTGAATCATTAGAAAATAATGTGAGTCAATTGCTGAGTTCATTTCTTCAGGATGCTCAATATTGAGCACATATTCATTTGTAAATGTATGATGTCTCTTTGTGATTCCTGTTTATAGCAAATAACAACCTGCACATTATGTTTATTTCTATTTGCATATCCCTGATGATTAATAGCAAACTGTACATCATGTTCATCTATTTGTTAATCTCTGATTCTAGTTATTACGACTTGCATGTTAAGTTCATAGCACATTCATTTATTTTATTTTCAGCTTAGTCCCTTTATTAATCTGGGGTCGCCACAGCGGAATGAACCACCAACTTATCCAGCATATGTTTTACGCAGCGGATGCCCTTCCAGCTGCAACCCATCACAGGTGGAACCCATCACCCCCCCAGCTTCATATTATTTTTATTAAGCTGTAACATCATTAGACGTTGATATTTGGTGGATTTGGTTAATCACTGAACATTGATGTCGACCCGATTTTCATTTACAAACCAAATGCAACGTCCCCATGACATTACGGTACAACGTCTTGTGCCTGCTGGGTTTTTAAGGCCATTTCGGTCAACGTACAGTAAACATCCGTCATCTTCTCACCAGTGACATGCATCTAAACAGTCTCGGGGTCAAGGTGTATAGAGATTCTTGAGACGCTTTTAGTGCTCCCAAACAGCTTGCTGCATTCATAAATCACACATGTCTTGAGGTTGTTAAATATGATGCACAGTGATTGGACGGGAATCACAAGACTGATTTTTCTAAATCCAGTGCACAGGAAAAAATAAAGTAATGACTGCAGGTTAAAGGAAAGTAGTGGAGAAAAAGTACTGATACTGCACTAAAAATGCACTCAGCATCCATTTTTAAAGCTACTTACTAAATTATAATTCCTGAGAAAAACTACTCAATAACAGTAGATCGAGTATTTGTACTTTGTTACTTTGCACCACTGCGTAAATCTGATCTAATGTACTGTAATAAGATGTAGATGAGTGCTGTACTTGTCTGCACTCACCAGCAGAGGGAGCTGAAGTTCACATAAACCTCCATCAGTCTAAAGAACAGCAGAAACACTGCATCTGCTTACCTGGTGACAAATGAGAACAGGTACATTTCTTTCATAAGTTTACATAAAAACACCAAATTGTATTTCCGTATTATGCAGCCATTTTATAATTATTACAAAAACAATACTAATAATAACAATGAAATAGCAATAATAAAAATTAAATGAAATAATATTTTTGATTGTTTCTTATTTCTATTTTTTAGCTATTATTTACTGATAACTTGGCCATCACTGTTACAAAAGTGAATGCATTTTAATTTTGTATACCATGTTATTACCGTGTAATTCCTGCATTTTTACAAATATATATATATATATATATATATATATATATATATATATGTATATATATACAACAGTTCTGTCTGGTTCTCGAATCTGATTGGCTGATAGCTGTGATATATTTAAGTAATATCAGCACCTGTAAAGCCTCTTTACCCTTTGTGTATTACTCCACCCACATACAACCAGCAAAAAGCAGACACTACAGATCTAAAGTTTAAAAGATGCTTGCTCAGCTGTTTAACTGTCAGCTTATGATTTGAATCCAACGGGGAAGAAAGTAGTTCCTCATACAAAAGGGTTTTTGAGACTCTCCATGTTTGATTTTGTTTATATATATACACACAATTATGCCATCAAACTGTTGTATAAATGCAATATCACACTCGTAGCAGTGCTGATATACAGCCATATCGCACTGCTACTCGTGTGATATTGCTTTTATATATATATATATATATATATATATATATATATATATATATATATATATATATATATATATACACACACACACACAACAGTTTATCTGATATCCGTGATATAATTAAGTAATATCAGCATCCGTACAGCCTCTTTGCCCTTTGTGTATTACTCCGCCCACATACAGCCAGCAACAAGCAGACACAACAGTTTGACAAATATTACTGCAGTTAGACAACAAAATATACTTTTGAGGCTTTTTTAGTCGAGAATGTAGGTGTTTAGATTGCAACTATGCAGTTTATTTGCAAGAATAGTGTCTATTTTAAAATATTTACAATTTCTCAGAGACAGCTCGTGAGCTGGTGAGGGGAGGAGACTCAGGACTTCAGGATAATACAGAGGGGAGTGTCTTAGGGGGGTAACACAGGCTGGTCAGGAAAGGGGAATTCCAAACTTCAGGCCAAGCAGTCAATCGGTAGCTAGCCCAACCTTTTGTTAGGGACAGGGATGGCAAATGGATCATCAAGGAAAGGGGATCCACAACCAGTGACGACTCAGGAGGCAAGTGACACAAGCAACACAACAGGACTAGACGGCTGGGGAAACAAGTCATTTAAAAAAAGAAGAGCAAGCAATAAACAAACTAGAACTAAGTAAATATAAGAAATATTTAAGACGGGGGAAAAATAGAGCTCAAGAAATAAAATGAAACAAATACTGAAACTACTGAAACTTAAAAGGCTTAAAGAAATAACCTATAACTAGAAAAAAAACAAAGCAAAACACAGGAACAGGAATTAAAAAATAAAGAACTAACAAAAGACTAGGGCTAGACTGGGGCTAAGGATCACAAAAATGGCAAAATGATAACTTGAAATTAGTCTTGAGCTGCTAACAGAAATAAAATTGAAAAAAAAACATGCAGCAACCTTGCTGAAAGAAGAAAAAAAAAACGAATCAAAAGGATAAATTAATTCAACATAAAGATCAAAAAGACTTGTAATAGACTAGGACTAGACAAGAGAAACAAAACTAGACAATATGGAAAAAACCTCTATCATGCACTAAACAAGATAAGCTAGACATGCACACGAGAGATAGTATGACGAACCGGCAAACACAAGTGGAATATGAACTCAATATAAAGGAAGTAGAGAGCACGAGGAACAGGTGAACATAATTAGACAAACAAGGACTAAACAAGGGGGGCGAGGCATAGGAAAACAAGGAGGCAGGACAAACGAACAAATACGAAACAAACAAATAGACATTAAACACAGACAGGAGTGACAAGACTGTAAGGGCTGGATCCTGACAGGATGCTGCTTTTGTACCAGATCATAATTACAATCACCTGTTTCACATCACATCATTATTTCACCAGTTTACCCGCTTACTGGCCCTAAACTGCTCCTGTCACAACTGTCTTTGGATTGTGTTGCAGGTCTGAATGACAGGAAAGGTAGTAGATTTACAAATAAAGTTGACCAGACAGAACAATATTAAATATTAAAACAAACTTAATATGAAATAGTTTGTGTCCATATTGTCTGCAATGAAACATAAGTCAAAGTAATTTTGGAAAGCACTACTTTCTAATGTGGACAAATCTTAGTTTCAGCCTGCCTGTCAGACATTTCACACTGGATGAAAGATCATCATCTTCAGCTTAACCTCGCAAAAACGGAAATGCTTGTAGTTTCTGCTAACCCGACTCTACAGCGTAACTTTTCAATCCCGATGGATGGGGCAACCATTACTGCATCCAAAATGGTGAAAAGCCTTGGAGTAACGATTGATGACCAGCTAAACTTCTCTGACCACATCTCTAGAACTGCTCGATCGTGCAGATTCGCACTTTACAACATCAGAAAGATCCGACTCTTCCTATCTGAACATGCAGCTTAACTCCTTGTTCAAGCTCTTGTTCTCTCCAGACTGGATTACTGTAACTCTCTACTAGCCGGGCTTCCAGCTAACTCCATCAAGCCTCTTCAGCTGATCCAGAACGCAGCAGCACGAGTGGTCTTTAATGAACCTAAACGAGCACATGTCACTCCGCTGCTCATCCGTTTGCACTGGCTGCCAGTTGCTGCTCGCATCAAATTCAAAGCTCTGATGTTTGCCTACAAAGCGACTTCTGGCTTTGCTTCTTCTTATCTGCTCTCACTTCTGCAGATCTATGTGCCCTCCAGAAACTTGCGTTCTGTGAATGAACGTCGCCTCGTGGTTCCATCCCTAAGAGGGAAGAAATCACTTTCCCGAACTCTCGCATTCAATCTGCCCAGTTGGTGGAAGGAACTCTCTAACTGCATCAGAACAGCAGAGTCACTCGCTGTCTTCAAAAAACGACTAAAAACTCAACTATTTAGTCTCCACTTCACTTCCTAATCTGCAATTGCCTCTCTGGATATACCACTAACTGTACTCAAAAAAAAAAATGTTTACTAATACTTTCCTTCTTAGACTTTACAGACCTGAAACTTGCCTACAGCACTTATTCAATGTTGCTCTTATAGTTGTGTAAATTGCTTCCTTGTCCTCATTTGTAAGTCGCTTTGGATAAAAGCATCTGCTAAATGACTAAATGTAAATGTAAATGTAGTTTTCTATATTCCCGTGATACTACTGCATTTAGCCCTTTAAGTTGAAGTAATCAGGGAATTAAAATTCAAATATAAAATATAAACTTAAAAAAAAACATGCGTTCAGTGTTACCTGTGCAGCTCAGGTGTGTGTCCTTCACTCAAGGAGAGTTTGTGTTGACGGCATTATTTCTCTATAAGCTCTTGATCTGTTTTTCATCTCGATCTGAGCTGCAGAATCCACAGCACATCTCTCAGTGTTGGCAGGTCTTCAGAGGGCAGCAAATAAAGGAGAAACACATGCAGTAAGAGACAGAGATATATACAAAGACCATGGCGTTCCTTCTGCAGCAGATGCTGGGTGATAAACTGAAGAACATGACCGGAGGAAACAGTGAAGAAGATGAAGATGGCGGAGGAAAAGAGACGGCCGCGTCTAAAGGCATGAGCAGAGAAGAGTTCGAGGAGTATCAGAAACAGCTCATCGAGGAGAAGTGAGTCTGAACACACTCTACAACAGCTGAGTAAAGTGAGAAGGTGGATGGACTGCTTCATTAATGTTTTCAAAGTTATGCGTTCAAAATAATACAGTACGTTCAAAGTTGAAAACAGTGCATTTAAAATAATGTGTTCAAAATCGGTTTGAAACATTGCATTTAAAATAATGCTTTTGTTCAAACAAATTGTTGAAAATAATGTGTTGGTTAATAAAAATGGTTCAGTTATGTTCAAAATTAGTTCAAATGAATGCATTCAAAATTGTTTTGATGCATTTAAAATCGGTTCAAAATAATGCATTTGTGTAAAACTGATTCTAAATAATGTCTTCATTCAAAACTGATTCCAATTAATGCATTCAGAATCAGTTCAAAATAAGGCATTTGTTCAAAATAATGAGTTTCTTCAAAATTGGTTTACAAAAATGCATTCAAAATAATGTGGCCAAAAAAGGCGCTAAAAAAATCAATAAGTTCAAAATAATGTGTTTAAAATAATGCTTTTGTTCAAAAAATATTGCAAATGAGTTTTTCTAAAAAATTGGTGTTCAAAATTGGTACAAATAAATGAATTCAAAACTGGTTTAATGCATTCACAATCAGTTCAAAATAATGTGTTCAATCAAAATTGGTTCCAATTAATGCATTAAAAGTTGATGTTTAAATTAACATGTTTATTCAAAATAATGCATTAGTTTAAAATCGGTTTGAAACATTGCATTTAAAATAATGCTTTTGTTCAAACAAATTGTTGAAAATAATGTGTTGGTTAAAAAAATGGTTCAGTTATGTTCAAAATTGGTTCAAAAATATGCACTCAAAATTAGTTCAAATGAATGCATTCAAAATTGTTTTAATTTATTCACAATCAGTTCAAAATAATGTGTTTAACCAAAATTGGTTTCAATTAATGCATTAAAAGTTGGTGTTCAAATTAACTTGTTTATTCAAAATAATGTGTTTGTCCTAAATTGGTTTAAAACAGTGCATTTAAAATAATGTGTTCAAAATTGGATCGAAATAATGCATTTGTTTAAAATCAGTTCAAAACATTGCATTTAAAATAATGCTTTTGTTCAAAAAAATTGTTAAAAATAATGTGTTGGTTAAAAAAAATGGTTCAAAGTCATGTTCAAAATTGGTTAAAAAATATGCACTCTAAATTAGTTCAAATGAATGCATTCAAAATTGTTTTGATGCATATAATAATGTGAAATATTTTTAATCAGATGGCACATGGCATAATCACATGGCAGCAACTCAATGCATTTAGGCATGTAAACATGGTCAAGATGATCTGCTGCAGTTCAGACTGAGCATCAGAATGGGGAGGAAAGGGGATTTAAGTGACTTTGAACGTGGCATGGTCCAGTTGGTGCCAGACAGGCTGGTCAGAGTATTTCAGAAACTGCTGATCTACTGTGCAGAACCATCTCTAGGGTTTACAGAGAATGGTCTGAACAAGAGAAAAGATCCAGTGAGCGGCAGTTCTGTGGGCACAAATGCCTTGTTGATGCCAGAGGTCAGAGGAGAATGGCCAGACTGGTTCCAGCTGATAGAAAGGCAACAGTAAATCAAATTAGCACTCGTTACAACCGAGCTCTGCAGAAGAGCATCTCTGAACACACAACACGTCCAACCTTGAGGCGGATGAGCTACAGCAGCAGAAGACCACACCGGGTGCCGCTCCTGTCAGCTAAGAACAGGAAACTGAGGCTACAATTCACACAGGCTCACCAAAACTGCACAATAGAAGATTGGAGAAACGTTGCCTGATCTGATGAGTCTCCATTTCTGCTGCCACATTCGGCATCAACAACATAAAAGCATGAACCCATCTGTCCTTGTACCAATGGTTCAGGCTGGTGATGCTGTAATGGTGTGGGGATGTTTTCTTGACACACTTTGGACCCATTAGGACCAACTGAGCATCGTGTCAACGCCACAGCCTACCTGAGTATTGTTGCTGACCATGTCCATCCCTTTATGACCACAGTGTGCTCATCTTCTGATGGCTACTTCCAGCAGGCACCATGTCATAAAGCGTGAATCATCTCAGACTGGTTTCTTGAACATGACAATGAGTTCACTGTACTCAAATGGCCTCCACAGTCACCAGAGCTCAATCCAATAGAGCACCTTTGGGATGTGGTGGAACGGGAGATTCACATCATGGATGTGCAGCCGACAAATCTGCAGGAACTGCGTGATGCTATCATGTCAATATGGAGGAAAATCTCTGAGGAATATTTCCAGTAGCTTGTTGAATCTTTGCCACGAAGGATTAAGGCAGTTCTTGGGGCAAAAGGGGGTCCAACCCGGTACTAGTAAGGTGTACCTAATAAAGTGGCCGGTGAATGTATAATTCTTAACAAGGTTAATGTGAACAAGTATCAGTTTTATATATTACCATAAAATTACTATGTTATCTGCATTTACAGTAGCCTTTTTAAAGTATTGTAAAATTATGTAACACCCCAGAAAATTTGATGTCATACACAAACACAAACACACAATATACACACACACACAAACACACAAACACACACACACACACACACACACACACACACACACACACACACACACACACACACACACACAATGCTGTAATGTTGCTCTGTGCTACACTTCATCTCTTTATATAACAAACGGTGGCTTTTAGTCCAGAAGTGGGTCAGGAGTGTGTGATTGGGTCAAACGTCCCAGCAGACTGTGCTTGTAAACCTGCTGTCAATCTTAAAATAATTCAATAAGTTCACACAAACGCAAATAAATAAAAGAACAAAATAACTGGCAACAATGAGATTCTGGCACTAACAAAGTGATCAGAGTAATTACTGGTATATTTGTAAATAATAATTTACTAATGGACAAACGGGGTGGCACGGTTGCTCAGTGATTAGCACTGTCGCCTCGCAGCAAGAAGGTCTCTGGTTCAAGTCCCGGGCAGCTGGGTCAGTTGGCATTTTAGTGTGGAGTTTGCATGTTCTCCCCGTGCTGGTGAGTTTCCTCCGGGTTCTCCGGTTTCCCATACAAGTCCAAACACATGTGGTATAGAGGAATTGAATGAACTTAATTGGTCATAGTGTATGAGTGTGTGTGTGAATGTGAGAGTGTATGAGTGTTTCCCAGTACTTGGGTTCCAACTGGAAGGGTATCCACTGTGTAAAACATTTGCTAGATAATTTGGGGTTTATTTTGCTGGGTTGACCCCTGATTAATAAATGGACTAAACCGCAGGAAGATTAATGAATGAGTAACACAGAACCATTTTTGGATAATTAAAAAAATTAACAATTTAATAAATTAACCATTAAAAAATACGGTAAAATATAAAGAATATCAATTATCAAAAAAATTATATTATAAAAAAGAACTGGTATTTCAGCAGTAACAGTTTACACAATAAAAAAAAAAAAAAAAAAAATTATATATATATATATATATATATATATATATATATATATATATATATATATATATAAACAATTGAAGTCAGAATTATTAGCCCCCTTGAATGATCAGACCCCCTCTTTATTTTTTTCCCCAATTTCTGTTTAACGGAGAGAAGGTTTCAACACATTTCTAAACATAATAGTTTTAATAACTCATTTCTAATAACTGATTTATTTTATCTTTGCCATGATGACAGCACATAATATTTGACTAGATATTCTTAAAGACACTTCTATACAGCTTAAAGTGATATTTAACTATAGGATAACTAGGGTAATTAGGGTAACTAGGCAGGTTAGGGTTATTAGGCAAGTTGTTGTATAATGATGGTTTGTTCTATAGACTATCTAAAAAAATAGCTGAAAAGGGACTAATAATATTGTCATTAAAATGGTGTTTAAAAAAAACAAAAAAAACTGCTTTTATTCTAGCCCAAATAAAACAAATCAGACTTTCTCCAGAAGAAAAAATATTATCAGACATACTGTAAAAATGTCCTTGCTCTGTTCAACATAATTTGGGAAATATTTAAAAAAAATCAAAGGGGGGCTAATAATTCTAACTTCAATTGTGTGTGTGTTTATATATATATATATATATATATATATATATATATATATATATATATATATATATATAAATATATATATACACACACACACACACACACACACACACACACACACACACACACACACACACACACACACACACACACACATATATATATATATATATATATATATATATATATATATATATATATATACATATATATATATATATATATATACATAGATACACATACATATATATATTATTCAGTATAGTATTCAGACCCCCCTAAATGTTTAAATCTTTACTATATTGCAGCCATTTGTTGAAATCATTTAAGTTATTTTTTCCTCAATGTTAACACAGCAGCCCATATTGACAGAAAAACAAAGAATTGCTGTCATTTTTGCTGATTAATTAAAGACTGAAATATCACAGGGTCCTCAGTGTTCAGCTCAGTATTTAGTAGGAGCCCCCGTTTGATCTAACACAGCCGTGTGTCTTTTAGGGAAAGATGCAGCAATTTTTTCACTCCTGGATTTAGGGATCCTCTGTCATTCCTCCTTGCAGATCCTCTCCAGTTCTGTCAGGTTGGATGGTAAATGTTGGTGGACAGCCATTTTTAGGTCTCTCCAAGATGCTCAATTGGGTTTAATCCAGGGCTCTGGCTAGGCCAGTCAGTAAGAGTCACAGAGTTGTTATTAAGTCACTCCTCAGTTATTTTAGCTTTCATTGTCTTGTTGGAAGGTAAACCTTCAGCACAGTCTGAGGTTCTGAGCACTCTGGAGAAGGTTTTAGTCCAGGATATCCCTGTTCTTGGCCACATTCATCTTTCCCTAGATTGCAAGCAGTCGTCCTGTCCCTGCAGCTGAAAAACACCCCACAGCATGATGCTGCCACCACCATGCTTTACTGTTGGGCCTGTATTGGACAAGTGATGAGCAGTGCCAGGTTTTCTCCACATATACAGCTTAGAATTAAGGCCAAAAAAGTTCTATCTTGGTCTCATCAGACTAGAGAATCTTCAGATGTTTATTTTGGCAAACTCCATCCAGGCTTTCGTGTGTCTTGCACTGAGGAGAGGCTTCCGTCCGGCCACTCTGCCATAAAGCTCTGACTGGTGGAGGGCTGCAGTGATGGTTGACTTCCTACAACTTTCTCCCATCTCCAGACTGCATCTCTGGAGCTCAGCTAGTGATCTTTGGGTTCTTCTTTTTTTATGATTATTTATTTATTGCAGAACAAAACCAGCATACATAGCTAGCAACAACTATATACAAGCCAGGGTTTGCATTAAATGAAAATACATAAAGAAAAAATTACAAATAATAATAGTAAAATAAAGACAATAAAATTATAAATGAATAACAATACACAGAAAAAGAAAAGCTCTGGGATGAGAATTAAGTAGTTATTATCTAGTTATTATAAAATCAGACCATGCTTTGATTGTATGGGGTTTAGCTCTGTTAATTCTTGCAGTGGAACGTTCTTTCTTTGGGTTCTTCTTGACTCTCACCAAGGCTCTTCTCTTCAAGGTTCTTGCCACTGTGCTCTTACAAACAGTTAGTGCAGCAGATTTTTTTCTGTCAATATGGGGTGCGGTGTGTAAAGCAAATAACTTCAATATATTGAACAGTGAAAATTTAAGGGTCCGAATACTTTCTGTACCCAATGTGTTTGTGTGGGTGTATATAATAAAACAACAAATGACCAAAAATAAGGCAAATTATAATATATAAACTTTTTTATATATTTTTATATATTTTTTTAATATATTTTTATATTTTTATATAAACTTTATTATATATTATAAAGGTGTTTTGACACCTGCATAATTAAAAAAAAAATTATAAAATTAATTAAAAATATAGTCAGGAATGTTTGTAAAATTATATCCAAAATAAAATAAAAAGTATCTAAATAATTAGCTAATTATATGAATGATTTATTAAAAATACATAAAAATAATTGAAATTGCAACATATATATATATATTACATACTATGACATATAACAATACAATATTAATATTGTTAGTATAAGATAAATAATAATTGTAGACAAATTTGTAAAAAAAAAAAGGAAATAAATTTAAAATAAAATGAATTTCAGATGGGATCCGTGACTGTTGGCTCACTCCATGCTGTTTAATATCTGGGCTAGTTAATTCTGACAGCGTTCACCCAGTTTGACCAGCGATTGAGAACCACCTGCTCCATATTTCACCATAAACCCTTTTAACCTTCTTAGGCTCGTCCTGCTGCCGAGGTCAGTCTCTTACTTATTTCAGTATAAGAAGAGTCTGTTTATACCCGTGAAAGGCTGCTAATCTGCGCAGGCCGCTGTAATGCCACTGAGAGGGTCAGGACGCCGCTCACATTGATTGGTTTCACCTAAAACCCCTAAACAGCATGTAACTAACCACTTCATTTATGCCTGTGTAAATAAAGCCAATCATATTTCAATTTCTCACAAAAAAAGGGTATAAATGTGTTTATTCTTTACAGATCTCTCTTTTAAACCCTTGAGTACTGTTTAAATTGACCTCTTCTTGCCCTACTGACTTTCATTTTAATGATTTTTTTTTTTTTTTTGCAAAGCGATGACAGCATATACTGTAATCATGTATTTTTGATTGTTGCTGGATTTCCCTGTTGGGAAGAGGTTAAATGTGTAATGCTTACTGTTGATCATCAGTTGGCAGCATTAACCCTGTGCAAAGAAAAACTTTCTGGCTTTTACGTGGTGCTATATAGAGTAAACAGCAGATTACAGTGTGTGGGCAGAAATAAACTTACTGTGTTTACTATGCTATGAGAGCATTTTCTGTCAGTTTTTAGCATTCTGTAAAACATTGCAATACTCTTTCTATGAAAACACTGTATCGACTACACTTCAGCACTTTACAAATGTGGCAACTGACATATTCATATACATACACTAACCGGCCACTTTATAAGGTACACCTTACTTGTACCGGGTTGGACCCCTTTTTCCTTCAGAACTGTCTTAATCCTTCGTGGGCAAGGATTCAACAAGGTACTGGAAAAAATTCTCAGAGATTTTGCTCCATATTGACAGGAAAGCATCACACAGTTGCTGCAGATTTGTCGGCTGCACATCCATGATGTAAATCTCCCATTCCACCACATCCCAAAGGTGCTCTATTGGATTGAGCTCTGGTGACTGTGGAGGCCATTTGAGTACAGTGAACTCATTGTCATGTTCAAGAAACCAGTCTGTGATGATTCACGCTTTGACATGGTGAGTTATCCTGCTGGAAGCAGCCATCAGAAGATGAGTACACTGTGGTCATAGAGGGATGGACATGGTGGCGTTAACACGATGCTCAATTGGTACTAATGGGTCCAAAGTGTGCCAAGAAAATCTCCCCCACACCATTACACCACCAGCAGCAGCCTGAACCATTGATACAAGGATGAATGGGTCCATGCTTTTATGTTGTTGATGTCAAATTCTGACCCGAGCATCCGAATGTGGCAGCAGAAATGGAGACTCATCAGAGCAGGTAACGTTTCTCCAATCTTCTATTGTGCAGTTTTGGTGAGCCTGTGTGAATTGTAGCCTCAGTTTCCTGTTCTTATCTGACAGGAGCGGCACCCGGTGTGGTCTTCTGCTGCTGTAGCCCATCCGCCTCAAGGTTGGACGTGTTGTGTGTTCAGAGATGCTCTTCTGCAGACCTCAGTTGTAACGAGTGCTTATTTGAGTTTCTGTTGCCTTTCTATCAGCTGGAACCAGTTTGGCCATTCTCCTCTGTCCTCTGGTATCAACAAGGCTTTTGCGCCCACAGAACTGCCGCTCACTGGATATTTTCTCTTGTTCAGACCATTCTCTGTAAAGCCTAGAGATATTTGTGCGTGAAAATCCCAGTAGATCAGCAGTTTCTGAAATACTCAGACCAGCCCGTCCGGCATTAACTGGACCATGCCACATTCAAAGTCACTTAAATTCCCTTTCTTCCCCATTCTGATGTTTGCTTTCAACTGCATCAGATCATCTTGACCATGTACACATGCCTAAATGCATTGAGTTGCGTTAATGAGCAGTTGGACAGGTGTACCTATTAAAGTGATATTAACATTATATTTAGTTTAGCTTCATCCATCATTTGTGTTTAAATAATTGTTTTTAAGAGTGGATTTCACTGTTCGAAATGAAAGAATCTAATCAAATACGCTAGTTCATATAATATATATAGTATAGCACAGTATATAGTGTAGTATAGCATATAGTGTATAGTGTAGTATAGTAGTGCATAGTATACAGCGTATAGTCTAATAAAGTATCATAGACTGTATAGTAGTGTATAGTACAGTATATTACAGTGTACAGTATATATACTGTAGAGTATTCTAAGGAACAATTTTTCATAACGTTTTTTGCCTCAAGCCTAACACAGAATTATTGAAATCACAGTTTAATGTGTCGTCTTTAATCTTGAAATGTACATTTAATTAAATTTATGCATTGTTCACGCACAAATCTGTAATCTCCCTGTATTTTAGTTTTATGCAAAAGCTAAAAGGTTTTATTTTAATCATTATTGCCCATTGTTAAATAATAACAATTACATTTTCATGCAGTTTTAGATTTTCATTTCATCCAAAATCCACTTTTCAAACACATGATTAAAATTCAAGCATCTTCAAGCTTTTTACAGCACCTGCAAGATTCCTGAACAGTAAAAAAACATTACAGCAACGTGTTATTTTCTTTACAGGATCACCAGAGACAAGGAGTTTGCAACAAAAAAAGCAGAGAGAGCAAACCTTCGAGTGCTGCTGCGAGACAAATACAGACTCCCACAGGTAACAGACCCCAGGTTAACACTATTAAACTCATTTCCAGAACCTTTACTTCCTCTGTTCCTCAGCAGTGAAATGAACATCTCAAACCTCTAAAACTAATATCCTCAAATATTTTGAGGAAAGTTAATTTCTGGTGTTGTGCCGATGCCATTCACAGTGTCGGACGCCACATTTAAAAACTTAATGCAGAATCAATTTTAATCAACCTAATTAACCCAGTGAAGCCTTTAAATGTCATTTTAAGCTGTATAGAAGTGTCTTGAAAAATATCTAGTCAAATATTATTTATGAAATTGGGGAAAAAATAAACAGGGGGGCTAATAATTCTGACTTTAACTGTAATCCACATGCATAGTGCTTTTGGCTTTCCCACGCTCGAAAGCTTGACAGACCTCCTGCATGTAGCTACGGTTGCTAAGCCACGATTGGTGTGTGGCGGTATTCGGGTGTGGCTAAGCGGAGGGTCAATTACAAGGCGACTTTAACAAGATTTTATTGCTTTACATCTGAAACTGTGAAACATCTGTTTTCAATGTTCGTCAACAGAGCGCACAAGACGACGCCACCGTACAGATGGCCGGAGATGACCTGGACATTCCTGAGGAGCTGGCAAAAATGGTGGATGAAGAGGAAGAGCAGGAGGAGCTAAATGACTCTTTTCTGGGGAAACTACAAAACATGGACGTGGACTTTGACTCAATCAAGGCGAAAGCTCAGAGCACCATGACTGAGGTCAAACAGGCAGCGGAAGAAAAATGTGTCTTGATGTGACGGTGATTCGGTTACAATACTGTGGATCTGGAGGATTTCTTTAGTAGTTTCTTCATTTAAAGTTAAGCTATGGACCCTTTTCACATTTCAGAGTTTTTCAGCAGCAAATTCGTAATAGTTGGTAAACTTGGAGTGCAGCTAATGTGAGAGTACAACAAATGACTATTTTACAATCCTATTTGCTGAAATAATAAAAGAAAAACTCAACGATGGTGTTATCAAGACTTTCAGAAAAATAATGTGAGACTGATGACGACAGCCAGAAGAGAGAACGTCAGATTTAGGTCGTACTCACACTATGTACAGTTGCCTCGAACCGGGCCAAAGCACGATTGTCCCCCCTCCCGTCTCCCCCGACGGCCCGCACTCACATTACAATCAGGCCTGGGCACGCTTACGTCATCGATGCTGCGCTGTTCAGTAAACGCTCTCGCTCAGCTCAGTGGACATTTCTCTAGTTTTATCGATTTAGTTGTTTTTTATGCAGTGACATGCAGTCAAATATTTCGCCAAACAGTCCTTAGGGATGCGGTGACACGCAGTCAGATATTTCGCCGAACAGATTCGCCACTTTTGGCGCTCATAAACAATCATAAAGCTCTCGTGCTGCAGGAATGAGGAGGTCTGCTGAAGGTGCAGCTGTTGTGCAGTGAGGGGTTTGCGTCTTTAATAAACTATGGCAGTTTGCGTTCACTGAACAGTAAGAATGATTAATAAATCCATATGAAACAGCCCCTTAAAGTCACGTCTCGCTTTCAGTTTCGGGCTTTGGTGCGTTTTGCACTCATACACAAGCGTACCGCGCCAAAGCCCAAGTGAACCGGGCTCCGATTCAGCGAACGGGCCTAGGCACCGTTGCTCGTGTTTTCCAACAACGTTTAAAGGCTGATTTATACTTCTGCGTCTACCGCACGCATATGCTACACCGCAGCCTACGCATTGACACATGGCCCTACGCCGTGGCCTTCGTCATCGCTGACATGCACCTTTCAAAAAAAGGTAGCTACACGTCACATCGACGCATAGCGCAAGCTCTATAATTGGTCGGCTTGGCAGCGCTGACGAGTCTGGGCAACACCTGGCCGCTCCAATGGAGCGATTGTTTAAAAGTGTGGAGTCCCGTGAAGGAGCTCCGGATGGAAAGTTTTGTTTAGTGTTTACCTCATATTTAAAGTTGTTGCACGTCCGCCGGTTACTGCCTCAAAATGAGCGAGATTGAGTCACTTGTACATTCAGGAAGTGTTCAGGAAAAACAAAACACCAGCGAAGAAACACAGAGGAACATTTACACCTCACTTCCAACTAGCGTTTCGGAAGTGTTAATGCAGACCAACAGAGACAGCGCGCAGAAGTATAAATGCACAGCTACATGTGTTTCATGCGCCGTGGGTCACACTGATCACTAGACGCAGAAGTATAAACCAGGCTTAACGCCTCATGACTAAATAAAGAACGTCAATGTGATCGTGCACAAGAACGCGCAAAACGCCAAGTGCAAAAGTGTCAATTAAAAAGAAAAACACCTCATGCTCGTCTTTGTTTTGAGGCACCATGTTAAAACCTTCTCCACCAATACGTTAGACACTTTTGTTAACGTTTACGAGCTGCTGAAGTTACAGTAAACAGCACTTGGAGGCGCTCAAGCGCAAAACTGTCAATGCGAGCGCACACTGAAGAAGAACGTGCACTGGTAAACAATAATCATTTCTTCATCACTAGAGCTGGAGCTGCTGCTTTAACCATAACAACAAGCGAGTGTCAGAAGCTTAAAGTTGTGTAGCGCCGTCTAACATCAAGGAGTGGTTTTGCATACTCTTCTGATCGACGCCAGTGAAAAATCGATTGTGTTCGAATAATGAAAAACGTCTTGAAAAACATTGACATCTGTCTTGTGAAAATGGTCCATATTTGTAAAATGCTTTTGGTCAGTGTCGGAAAACACACTTGCAGCCAATCAGCAGTAAGGGGCGTGTCTAGTCATTATAGCAATATAAAAAGAGGGTGGAGTCTTTCCTGGGTTATGGGCTTTTTTTTTTTTTTGGTTAACATCACTGGGAAAAATTGCTCAGTGCTAACCTATATTGGTTAATAAAAAAAGAGAATATTTCACTTTAATTAAAATACACCCCTAATTTAATCATCCTCCAGTCATTACACATCTGACTTTCAGATATTCTGATGTACAACTTTTGTATCATATACTGTTGAAATGACAAATGCATTCAAGCTTATTTCTGCCGTGGAATTAAAAAAGAAAAAGCTATTTATACAAATATTTATATATATTCTGTATTAGATGTAAACATCTAAAGAATTATGTAAATGTTGAATTATTTATTAACATGTATGTGTATATACTTCTATACATGTATATAAATATGCACATGCACAGTACACACACACATATACAATATACACACATACATATACTGTATGTATATATTTATGTTGTATGTATGCATGTATGTATGTATGTATGTATGTATTTCTGGGTGACACAGTGGGTAGCCTTGTTGCCTCACAGCAAGAAGGTCGCTGGTTTGAGCCCTGCCTGGGTCAGTTATCATTTCTGTGTGGACTTTGCATGTTCTCACCGTATTGGCGTGGGTTTCCTCCATCCAAAGACATGTGCTGTTTGTGCTTTTAAGCCTTTTGAGCGTAAACACCATTTTGCTTTTTGTTCCTTTTGTCTGATTGGATGTTGTGAGCATGTGATGTTTTCGTTTTATGGTAACAACCAGTACATCGAAGAGACGGCAACATGGCAGCAACCTCAAATTATGAGGCTTAAAGACAACGTCTGTTTCTAATACCTTTGAAGCAGACATTAATGTGCGTACAACACAACAAAAACTATTCATTCATGTTTTGCACAGTTTGTCGTCAGTTTGGCAAGTCAGCCACCTTTTGTTGAATAATTCAGAACTGCAATAAAGTATCTGCACATTTTCCATACTGCTCTTTCTGCTTGCATTAACATGTTTAGTTTTGCTCATCATACATTTATTAGTATTTTTTTTAAAAATATTTAAATTCTAGATACACAGATGTTATTTTTGACACATTATTTAAAATATGTGGCTAAGAAACAGCTATTAACTTTTTTTGTGGGGCCAGTAAAAATCTGAACCACTGGCCCGATCAACCCAGTAGAAAAAAATCCTTAGTGTTGAACCCTGATATATATACACACACACACACACACACACACACACACACACACACACACACACACACACACATATATATATATATATATATATATATATATATATATATATATATATATATATATATATATATATATATATATATATATATATATTAGTGCTGTCAATCGATTAAAAAAAAAAAACTAATTAATCGCACCTTTTTTTTTTAAATTATCACGATTAATCGCATTTAAAATACTGAAACTTGTCATTTTGGCTATTTAAATGTAAAATGAATGTAAACGCAAGACAAAAAAAATATTTAAATTCAAAATATAATTGTTTATTAGAATTAAAATTCAAAACATAATTGTTTAATAGAATTTTTGTTTAACTTGTAACAGAGATTTCTTCATGTAAACAACATACCCACAATAAACCATCAAGATCCTGGCCTGACAAGCATATTTATTACAGAAATTAAAACACAGGCATGTTAATGACATTTAAATTTCATTAGTTATAGAGTAGAAACAATTTAGCTTAATCCTCCTTTACATTCATCCAGTTGCTAAGACTAGGAGTATCCCGCAAGTGCACAGAGACTCAGAGACTACTCAGATACGTCGCTCACTCCACCCCTCACACCCCTCAATGGGCCTGACACAGACACACACACAACGCGCTGCAGACGTTTTGGCCCCAACGGCCTTCCATACTGGTGCGACTCTCAACACGCATGATCACGTACATCAAATTTGCTTAAACTAAGCGTCCTAAAGTATTACTGTATTTCACAAGGATTCTGACACAACAACGTGAAGCATACGCTTTCATTGCGTTTAATGAGGAAACACGCTAAACTTGGAGGGCTCATGCTGAAAGGCAGAGTAATGCCCTGTCTTTGACAGCTCGCGACTTCACCAGACAGAGACTTTCTGAGTACATTTACATAAGACACCAAAACCGATTTTAATATGATTAAGATACTCTTATTAAAATTCTACCGTGTAACCAAAGCAGTGATTTTATTACCTTAAAGGAACACGAGTCACGAAATGCGGAGGATTTTCTTTCTGTTCGCCATGCGGTATCAACTTACAACAGAAGTCGATAGTTAAAAATGAAACACCCGAAATTGCATGAAACTCTGGATAATCTGTGATGCAACTAATTGTTTTATACTGGAACTTGCCCTCAAAAAGTTTTTTTAACGCATTAATTATTTAAAATTAATTGCATGCGTTAACGCACTAATTTTGACAGCGCTAATATATATATATATATATATATATATATATATATATATATATATATATATATATATATATATATATATATTACATACATACATTTATGCACCCACCCACACACAAACACATATATATATATACATATATATATATATATATATATATATATATATATATATACATACATATATATATATATATATATATATATATATATATATATATATATATATATATATATATATATATATGTGAAAATTAGCGCGTTAACGCATGCGATTAATTTTAAATATTTAATGCGTAAAAAAAAAATGCAAATTACGCAGTTTTTTTTTTTTTCCGACGTGTGTTCAGTGTGGCCGACGTGTGTTCAGGGACTGTGCGGTGCGCCTTGGGCAGCAGAACAGTGAGCGAACGCCCCGGTCTTTCATCAGCAAAAAGGTCACTTTTTCACTTTCGGATTGAGGGCGGCGTGATTGTCGTTTGCCTAGAGCGCCAGTTCAGCTTGCTCTGGCTCTGCGTGTGTTTAACTTGCAAAGAAATTTGGATAAGACCAAAGACGCGCCATTAGAAGGAAAGTTTCAGTATAAAACAATTAATGTCGCATCATCAGGCTGTTCTGCGTTTCCTCCAGAGTTTCATGCAATTTCAGGAGTTCCATTTTTAATCTTTTGACTTTAACTGCAGTTCAGCAGTTCACTCTCATTTAACATATTTTCATTCAGGATGTTTTAATGGAATTTGATATATCCGCATAACGAATGGAAAGTAAAACCTCCGCATTTCGGGACATCCTTTAGGGTAATCAAAAATCACTGTTTACATGGTCGACTCTTAATCAGTATTATCTTAAACATAAAAGTGGAGTATTGGTGTCCATGTAAATATAGGCCTACTCGGTAAAAATGGCAGATGAAGTCGCAAGCTGTCATATATATATATATATATATATATATATATATATATATATATATATATATATATATATATATGCTCACACATGTATATATTCGAGACAAGGTTGATAAATAACAATTAAATATTTGGATGTGATTAATTGTAAAAAACTTTACCAGCACTAGAAATCATCCTGAATATTTTTTTCTTGGCAGAATAAAATATTTGTGATATGTAAATATTTTGTTATGAGGAAAAAATAAACTGAACGCTGGACAGAAAAAAAACTAAACTTTGTGAAGTTCAACAGCTCGCAGTTATCATCAGCATTTTTCAACATTTATGCCCAAGCGATTTTCACTGTGTCGAGTTAATGTACAAAATCAGTCCCTAACATTACCTGCCGCCTAATATATTTCATAGCAGTACACACGGTAGCGCTGCATGTGCAACTTTACGCTTGTTTTTAACGCATCGTATCAAACCAAAAAATAAATAAAACAAGTCAGAAGCATTATTTTGAATGCTGCTTTGCACTGTTATCCACTCTCACATTTGTCTGATCACAAGACTTTAAACATTGTCCAAGCATGTACAAGCCATTAGAAAAAGCTATTTATTTAAAAATTTAGAGCTGCAAGATGAAAACTGCAAGGTGAAATCCAATTTTTTTTTAACCCCATGAAGCTTTCTTGAATTATATTACACTGCAATCAACCAATGAAGTGTTGTGAAGACTGCAAACAATGAAGAGTCAATATTCTCCCCAACTTCATCAATAAAATATGAAAAGGAAACAGTATTTAAATGAACAAATTACTGAATTACTTACATAACATGAATAAAGCCAAAAAGTCTTTCCACAGCAATATTACAGAAGTACAGTTGAAGACAAAATTATTATGCATTATTATTTTTAAAGAAACTAGAATTCAGCTTAAAGTGCAATTTAAAGGCTTTACTCAGGTTAAGTTAGGGTTAAAGTTAGGGTAATTGGGCAAGTCACTGCAAAAATCTTAAGGAGGGAAGTTTTTTTTAACATCATGAATTCCAGCAAAACTAAAATAAATAAGACTTAAGGGGCCCTATCATACACCCGGCGCAGTGTGGCGCAAGACGCGGCGCAGTAGTCTTTTGGTAGTTTCAGCTTGGCACAAGAGTCGATTTGAGGCTTTGCGTTACGCTGTTTAAATAGCAAATGCATTAGCGCTCATTTGTGCGCCCATAGGCGTTCTGCTCTAAAAAGGAAGGCGTTCTGAGGCGGACCGCTGGAGCGTTGCTATTTTGAGAAACTATAATAGATTTTTCATTAGACCAAAACTAACCCGGTCTAAACTCCAGCGCAGAGTTGTGTCTCGCTTACACACTGCTTAATACACACAAGAGAGCAATAGGCAAATATCTTTACATATGAAAAATGTAAATATTAAGGATATATATAGAATATAATAAGAATAGATATAGAATATAAATATAAAGGATTAAAATATTACAAAACATTTTCTAGCCTACATAAATATGAAAAACCACAGCTTTTATGTCTTCTTCATCTCGGGAGGCTTTTTCAGTTCATTCATAACAATTTGCTTTTGTATAATGTTATTATTATTAGCAGTATTATTTATTATATCCATATTTATATTTGTTTTATTAAAAACAAGCTTAGATTTGTCCACCTGTCAGGTTTTAGACCATATGGGGCATGGCAGGTGTATTTGGAAATAACTCAGTATTTTGACCACACTAGGTCATTATTGTTCATTTTTTCGTTTGCTGGAAATTAGAACTGAATTTAGAAATAGTTTTGAAACTAATCTTTTTGCTTAACAAACGAAATTAATTATTTATAAGCTAATTGATGTCTGTGTGTAAAGGTTTCCCTATCCAAGAGTGAAAGTAGTTCCATTGTCTCTCATTCTCACGCAGTAGATGCTCTGTTTAACAGTTTTCTGTTAAAAACACTGTGAACTGTTTGCTTGTGAAATGCTCATTTTTTCCACTTAGACTTACTCTGCGTCCTGTAAATAGCGAATGCGCTCTTGGCGCGACGCAGCTGACTCTTAAAGGGAATGGGAGATGAGGCTCTAATTGGTTTATTCTCAAAATACACCTATAACTCATTAAGAAAATAAACGCAACCCTTTTAGACCATGCGCCTTGGCACAAGGCAGATTTCCCGTCCTTAAATTAGCAAAAACGCGTCCTGACACGCCCTGAAAGCGTTTGCGTCCTGCGTTTTGTGCTCTGCACATGAACCCTCAAAATAGAGCCCAAGAAATGTTTGGAAAATAAAAAAAAAACATTTCACACAAGAAGGCCTAATAATTTTATATTCAATTTAATGTATGAAAATAAAAGGTTGCAACACTCATTTTACTGTACATCATTCAGCAAAGTGAACATCTGCCATTTAATACTATTATGAAGGGAATATTAAATAAATAAATCATCCTACCTGGATGAACCATGTGGAGCAGTAAAAGTGGTGGAAGATTTCTGGGAAAAAAAGATGAGCAAAGATAAGTTAGGTTGATATCTTAATTAATGTAACCGCGGACACCGATTCTGCACAATTGACTGATTTCTTGCCTTCATTTTCTCTATTGTATCTCTATTTATTCTCTAAACTCTATTGTATATCTATAGTACGTTATACTTTTAAAATGGCCATTTTTGGTTATGAAAACTGATATTCAGTGAAAGAGAGGGTATGTTTCAGATTTACAATGAAAATTAAATTAGAATGGGGCAGTAATGTTAGTAGGTGCGTTTTGTTATGAATGAAAATGACGCTCATGCAGCTACACGACACCTCGACATTTTTGATGTCTGTTAAGTTGCTAATATCCAAATGAAAATAGGCAGTTCCTCACATCATGTTTTCATTTTATTGTTAAGACAGTGAAACAGCATAGCCAGGGTGATGTGAATGACTTAATAAAGTACGATCGGGACTATGTTTTCCATATCAAACTTGCGAAGTCTGAACTTACACGGAGAGGATGCGAGACTGATCTGTGTGTGTTAGGCTACTTAATACTGAGGAAAAAGCCCCAATTATAAAGGCAAATGTCTGCAGCCCCGCCTCCGTTTTCAGATGTCTCCGTTTTCCCCCATTCACACTGAGACGGAGCAGCAGCATTTTAGAATGAAAACAGCCTCTCCAGCGTTTCCAAAACGCTCCGTTTTCGGGGCTCGTAAAACTCCGGCGTAGTGTGGACGGATGGCGCAAGCGTAGCAAAACTTATGCGTTTTAAAACGCATGAGTGTAAACGGGGCCTGAGGAAGGCATTGTTCCGAAACGTTTGTGTTTTTAAATTACCCGAAGAATGTAAAAATAAAAAATAAAAACGGTACGAAGCAATTACTTGATGAGTGCGAATCATTACCTTCATGAATAAACCACCACACAAAGAATATTAAATCAGCATTAAATGTTTACAACCAAGATACTTTATCTTGGATTAAAAAAAATAGATTGAAATCTGCTAAATGTCAAAAAAAGTATCACTTTCATTAATAAAGTGCTCAGATTTAATCTCTAAGCGCAGTCTGTGTGTGTGTGTGTGTGTGTGTGTGTAAGGATGTAGTGGGCGGAGTTAATTAGCACATAAAGACTAATCGCCGCATTAATCCTACTGTAACACCAAAGCATGTCAGTGTCTCAGTGGGATTTGACGTCATCAACAGCCTAAAATTACACACACCAAATCCAGCAGAGAAACATTAACAGCTACTGTAGCAGACAGAAAACAGCCTGAGCGAAAAAGTCATATGCACATGTGTCATTTTAACGCAGGAATGGCTGAAGCGCTGGCTCTTGCTTTAATTTGATTTCCAGCCATAACAGGATTAGTTTACCTGCTTTCATTCTTGTCCTTGCTGTCAGATCAACAAAAGCAAACAAAGTGTCATGCTGATGCACATCTACAACTCTTTATCAACTATGATTGCAATTCAATATTTACTCCATATTTTATTATATATATCATGTAAGGTTATTTAAACATCCTAATATTGTCGATTTCTGGCGGTGTGAATTCCAACAAGGATGCAAAAAGGGTTGTAAGTGGCTGCAGCAAGACCATCGTCAAGGGGGTCGCACACCAGATGCGCTGTGCCATGCAGCGTCAAGCATTTTAGATTGTAAACAGGTTTATATTAGGGTGCGCACACCAGCGCAGCAAGTCAGCGGCTGTCCGCGGTGCCCAGCTATGAGTCAGGACACAGAGCGCCATCTGAATAATTTCATTGTAAATTTTCATTTTCCGTCGTGTGTTACTACCAACTGTCATGTGCGTGGCGCATTCGGTGTGTGACCCCCTTAAGGATGAAGTCTGCTTTAGCTTTGTGGATCAGTGACTGCAGGATAAAGAACATTACGCTGGACGCCTTCATCATCCACACAAAACCTAAAACGCTTTATAAACCTTTTGCTGACAGCGATCAATGTTTGCGCCTCAACAGATTTTGATCTTTGCTTTCATTCTATTATACTGGACTTATTTGTCTAGGAAAGTTTGAACTTTAAGAGTGTTTAAACGAGAGAAAAGAGTGAAAATGTTAATGCCTGAGAAAAGTGTATAAAGTGTGTAGTGAGGGGTTTTACAGCCTTAAACATCTATAATAATTATGGTAAAAAGGGAAGCAGACTACTTTGCAGATTTCGCCTGTTGCGGGTTATTTTTAGAACATTACTTCTGTAAATAATGAGGGACAAATACCCAGGAGGTATGTTTTTTTTTTTTTTTTTTTTTTTGCAGTTTTTGCAAATCCACCAGAGGCTGCTGTGTACGCTTTTTAAGATCTCAAATTTCTTTTGCGAGTGACTGACTGACTGGCTGATCGATTGACCTACCCTCCCTTGTCCCTAAACCCAACCAATAGTATTTTCAAAAGCACAGATTGACCCATCCACCACCTTCCCTAAACCCAACCAATGAGGTTTTAAAAAGCATCGACTGACCCACCAACCCCCTTCCCTGAACCCAACGACAGTGTTTTTAAAAGCATTGATTGACCAGCGCCCACCTCCTAAACCCAACAGATACTGTTTTCAAAAGTACCTGATTGACCCGCCCACCCCTTCCCTAAACCCAACCAATAGGGTTTTTAAAAGCACCGACTGACCCACCCACCACCTTCCCTGAACCCAACGACAGTGTTTTCAAAAGCACTGATTGACCAGCGCCCACCTCCTAAACACAACCAATAGTGTTTTCAAAACCACCGATTGACCCGCCCACCACTTTCTCTAAACCCAACTGATTGTGTTTTCAAAAGCACCAACTGACCCGCCCACCGCCTTACCTAAACCCAACCGACAGTGTTTTCAAAAGCACCGATTGACCCGCTCACTAACTTCACTAAACCCAACCAATAGTGTTTAAAAAAGCAGTGACTGACCCACCCCCCACCTTTCCTGAACCCAACGACAGTGTTTTCAAAAGCACCAATTGACCAGCAACCACTGCCTTCCCTAAACCCAACCGAGTGTTTTCAAAAGCACCAATTGACTCATCCACCACCTTCCCTTAACCCAACCGATAGTGTTTTCAAAAGCGCCGATTGACAAACCAACCGCCTTCCGTGAAACCAACGACAGTGTTTTTAAAAGCACCGATTGACCAGCACTCACCGCTCTGCCTAAACCCAACAGATAGTGTTTTCAAAAGCACTGATTGACCCGCCCACCACCTTCCCTTAACCCAACCGATAGTGTTTTCAAAAGCGCCAATTGACAAACCAACCGCCTTCCCTGAAAACAACGAAGGTGTTTTTAAAAGCACTGATTGACCCATCCACCACCTTCTCTCAACATAACCGTCAGTGTTATCAAAAGCACTGATTGACCATCATCTACTGCCTTCCCTCAACCCAACCGATAGTGTTTTCCAAAACAATCCATAAAAAGCACGGTAAAGCACGTGGTAAGCACGTAAAGAAACACTGTCATATTGTTTTGTACTGTTGGTTTAAAGACAAAATGCAGCCATACGTACCTTTGGCTATATAATTCTCACTCTCTAGAAATGTATATAGGGCTACGCTTTCAGAATGAGCATGTGTTGTTTTAAACACATGCAAATAATAAAAGTCTGTTATGGTTATTCTTTGCAATGACTCCACAAATCTCATGTATTCTCAAATTTTGGGCTGATCAACTATAATCCTGACTCAACATTGTGTATCCAGCAATCTGACTATTGCAGACACACACTGCAATATTGATGGTGAAACCATATATTGTGCAGCCCTGCTATCTATCTATCTATCTATCTATCTATCTATCTATCTATCTATCTATCTATCTATCTATCTATCTATCTATCTATCTATCTATCTATCTATCTATCTATCTATCTATCTATCTATCTATCTATCTCCCTCCCTTCCCCCCTGTCCTATGGTAAGCTGACACAGCTCCTTCAAGCGTTATCTGCTTTGTCACTAATAGGATCTGCGAGGCTTAAATTGTCTTCTGATAAAACTAAGGAGCTTGATAGCTACACTGCACCTCTTAGCTAATTTGCTCCCAATTAGGATAATGAGGAAACAAGCAAAGAAGGGCAGCCTTAATATTTTAACGTGATAAAATGATTATTGGCCTCTTCACTCGGTTAGCTAAGCCAACTATCGGTTGTGTTTGTCACTGTGATTTTCGATGTCGACGTCAATGGATACTGTACTACTCATTACATTCATTACTTCCAAAAAAAGATAAATACAAGTGCATAAAGTGAAATGCAAGTAACATTGTATTGATACAGCAGCTTTTACAGACAAGAAGTCACAAAAGTAAAAGAAAACGTATTTCAAAACAGGTTAAAACAAAAGTAGAAATAACCAAATGTAAATGTTAACCAAAAAAAATAAAAAATAACCAAAACAATTGTAAAAGCAGCCCACCATACTGTTAATTAGAAGCTTAGGGACGGAATTAAGACAGTGTTGTTAAATATGTTACAAACTGAGCTGAGCTTTTATTTTATTACTAAATACTAAAAACTAGTTACTAAAAAAGGTATTTTTCCTTTTCTTTATCGGTAAAAGTAGGCAAACATTCTTAAATCAAAGTATGTTTATACTTGAGAAAATAAACATACACAACATCTTAGTCACACTTCATTTTAAAGTACAATTCTCGTAATTTGGAGACCATTAACTATGACTGTTGGCTCAATAATCTCATAATTTGCTGCCTATTAATAGTTTATTAATATTATTAAGAAAGTAGTTACAGTATGTCTAGGTATTAGGGATGTAGAATATTATCATCCAAAATATGTACTAATAAATAGCCAGTATTTTACTGATAGGCATTTAATTCATATTAAATTAGCAGTGAAAATTGGGCCCTATTTTAAAATGTTTAATATTATGCAAAAAAAAATAAATAAATAAATAAAATATTATAAATATATAAAATAAAATATAATAAAAAAATATAAAAATATTTGAGGTTTTGCTTAAAAATGTATAATTTTTTAATAATT